GCACTTATATAACTAGAGGAAGAATCTCAAACTTTCATGAGTAGATCCGGAATTGATAGGGCTAAACCAAAGCTGCAAGGAAGTGTGGTCACCAATGATGCCAATATTGAAAAAGAAGGTCTGTATGTTTTACAAACATACATATAATTGGACCATGGAATGTGAAAAGGGAAACTTGTAACTGTTGAAACCGAAATACAGTACAGTACACTAAATTAGATATTTTAAGAGTGTTCTAATTTAGCAGTAATGGGCCACTTTCAGATGACTATGTGATATACTATTCAGGGTCTAAAATGAATAAATGGCAGTGATATTTTTAAAAAGGACATCACCTAATTTATATATATACAGTATATATATATACCCCCATAGCTGGCCGGATCATATCTTTTAGAAACAGTGGCTATTTCATGAATGAAATATTATACAAATATTATAATATAAAATGCTATATAACCTTAATAAAAATGTAAACTTGGACTACTTTAAGGAATATATTGCAAATGGCCTGTGATCAAGTTTCAGAAAAGCACATAGTACTACTAATGAATCATTGGAATAACAAAGTTGGGGAAATAGAAGAATCTAGAACGGGGTGTCAAGCTTAGTCGCATCTCAGGATGGATCGTGATGTTTTTTGCCTTTGCGGAGCTGGGGTGGGCGTGGCTTGCGCAGGCGGGCGGTATCCGGCCTGTGGACCACCAGTTTGACATCCCTGATCTAGAACTATGGGAAGATTTGTACTGAGTAAACTCAATTACAGATAGTCTCTGCTTAACTACTATTTGTTTAGTAACTGTTCAAAGTTACAACAGCACTGAATGAGGACTGAATGCAGCCAGGTGATCTCAAATCTGATGCTTGGCAACCAGCTCACAATCGTGACTGTTGCAGCATCCTGCAGTCATGTGATTGCCATTTGCACCTTTCATGAATAGATCTGAGTAGACTACCTTTCCTGAGTAGACCATCTTTCAACCAGCAAAGTCAATAGGGAATCTGGTGGGAGGTGGCAACCTTAGAATTTGTGAGATTCACCTAATAACCACACCTGGAACTTCAGTTATAAGTTGACATAATTTCATGACATTGCTTAGTGTCATGATTCCTGGGCCCAATTGCTGCCATTAACTGAGAACTACCTCTAAAGTAGGGGTTTTGTAGTGATAGTTCTTTGTTGCTGGCAACTGCTTCGAACAGCTGAACAGGATAAGTAAAGGCTATACTCTTAGACATCAGCAGATGGATAACATTAGAATCAAATTGACTACATAATAGGAAACAGAAGTTAGAAAAATACAATACATTCAGCCAGGGCATTTCCAGGTACATATTGTGAAACAGACCATGTAGATTTCAAATATATAGATTAAATTTATCAAATTAAAGATATTAGGTGTTCCAGCAAGACTGAATCTGAAAAACATACACTAAAAACATAATATAAATTAGACAACCTATTATCCATTGGGTCATTGTTCCAGATAATTGCCTAAATAGAGAAATAGAATGATCACAGACAAGCAAAAAAGCAGTGGAAGCTAGAGCCACGTCCAACTTCCTTCTGGCTTCCCCATTGATGTTCCTTGTGAGAAACTGGCATAGAATTTGGAAATGGCTGATACAGCCGCAACTTTGCTAAATTTCAATCCCATGTGAGTAATGGGTCCTGGATTAAATTTATTATTTATTTATTATTAAAATTTATATGCCGCCCTTCTCCCGGAGGACTCGGGGCGGCTCACAACCATCAAGTAAAGTAAAAACAATAACAATAACAATAAATAAAGTTAAAAAATACAATTAAAATCCCACAATTAATTAAAAACTCCCAAACAGATCAGACAATTTGTTTAAAAAGCCATGTCTTCAGGTCTTTGCGGAAAGAATGGAGGTCAGGCGCTCTCCGGAGCCCAGTGGGTAACTCGTTCCAGAGGGTCAGTGCGGCCACAGAGAATGCCCTCATCCTGGGCGCCGTCAGCTGACATTGTCTGGCAGACGGCACCCGGAAGAAGGCAGTCCTATGTGAGCGCACTGGGCGGTGGGAGGCCGGTAGGAGGTACTCCTGCAAATACCCCGGGCCCATGCCATATTGCCATCATTTTTCCCAGTTGAAGGTTGCAGACATATAGGAGAGTTTTAGTAATATAGAAGACAAGCCATGCCCCAATGAGTCATTACTTCAGAGAAATTGTCTTACCTAAACAAAGAAACAGAATGACTGTGAGTGGGCAAAAAAGGAACAGGAGTGATTCCTGACTTCTGGTTGCCTTCCCCCAATGGGTTTCCTTTAGGAAACTGGCAGGAAGCATTAGAAATCTCTGTTCCTCCCTTGAGAGTGCAAGAAGTGCAGTGCAGAACAGGAACAGTGCACAGGTTGGGAAGGTTGCCACATGGACATTCTCAAGAAATGTTATATGAGTCAGGGAAAGCCCACAGGTGTGGCATAGGTCTGGGAAGGCTTGCCGGGGATAGCACAGGTCAGGGAAGCACAAAGTGGCATGGACCAGGAAGGGTAAGGAGTATGATAAGGATATATATTATTGGCATATCTGTTTAATTCCAGTAGTAACTACAATAACGTAGCAAACAAATGATGGATTAAAAAAGCAATTATGCTTGACAAAGTTGCAGGAACTAAAAGGGAAAGACACAGATATAGCAAATAGACAAGATCAAGTATATTGTTGGAATGCCCCTGAAAGGTCTGTGGATTGTCCCTGGGTAGGGTTGAGGTGAAGGCCATTTGTCTGTAGAGTCAGCAAGAGTTGGACCCAACTTGATGACACTTAACTATTGAAACTACAAGAGCATAAAAGCCTTAGTAAGACCCTCACTTTTGAGTAAAGATTTCTTCATTATAGCCATAGTTCTTCAAGGATTGTCTTCATCCTGATGATCCAGTTGCCTCTTTCTTTGAAGATTGTCTCTTCCTTAGGGCAAAAGTAATTTGCCCTAAGGAAGGGGAAGCGCTTACATTGCAGGTTTGCACCATGAAGCATGTCATTGCATTTGCCTCCCATCCAGAGCTGCCTTTGCTGGCATTACATTACTCAAAGCAGACCACTGACATTGGTTCCTAAACCAGTTCTTGCTGTGTTGTATATTTGTCTGGCAGTTTCATGCCCTCCCAGTTACAAAAGAAATGTGTGGGCTAGCAGATGTTAGATATAAATTGAAAGAGGTTGTTTGTGAGGACAACTCTACAGATGTAGCTTCAAGTAAAATCTGGCATACTTTTTCAATCCTGGAAGGAGCCCAAGCTCTCCTCTCTTCACACCATATTCAATAGTTGTAATTCTTCCTACCCCCTCAGTGTTAAAGTCAGTCATTTATCTTTCCTCTCCACATTAGAATTCAGGTGGACTGTCTGCCTTATTTTATTTTTTAATTATATTATGAACATTTATTAAAGTAAACATACATTCATCACTTAAAATAAAACGAAAATTCATCAAACCTGTCTCCGATATCATTATAAATTCCAGCCAATTATCTCTGAGAACAGCTCAGCACTGCAAACTGAATTGCTTTCTTTCTGTTGAAACTTAGAGAGGAATTAAAGTCCTCTTTGTTAGACATACCCAGTTCTTTTGTTAGACATCCCCAGTTCCTGCAACCGATGATCATAATGTTTTAGCTTCCAGACCCCTAATAATCTTCGTGATTCTTCTCTGTACTCTTTCTAGAGTCTCCACATCTTTTTCGGATTGGGTTGACCAAAACTAGCATTCCAAATGGTCTTATCAAGGCAGTTTATAGTGCTACTTATCAAGGCAGTATAAAGTGCTACATCTGACCTTGATACTGTTCCTCTGTTGATGCAGCCTAGGACTGCATTGGCTTTTTTTTTTTTTGGCAGCTGTGGCACACTGCTGGGTTTATACTTAAGTAGTTGTCCACTAGAACTTCTAGATCCCTCTCACAGTTACTGCTGTTGAGCCAGTAACACCTACCTACGCATTTGGTTTTTCTTGCCTAAGTGTAAAACCTTACTTTTTTCACCACTGAATTGCATTTTGTTGGATAGTGCCCAGTGGTCAAGTCTGTCAAAATCTTTCTGGATTTTGACACTATCTTCTAAAGTGTTGACTATTCTGCCCCCCATAGTATTTTCTGCAAATTTGATAAGTTCCCCTTCTGTTATCTAAATCATTTATAAATATGTTGAAGAGCACTATGGCCTAAGACAGAGCCTTGGGATACCTTACTTTATACTTCCTTCCATGGAGATTTAGCTCCATTACATACATAAAAATGAAGGCAGTACTATGGCCTGGTGTATTTTCTTTGTCTTTACAAAATGGATATGACATCACTGTAATTGAAACAGAGTTCTGAAAGAACCAAGAGTGTGCTTTGGATCAGCAGCCTTGTTAAGTGGTGCCCTTAGGGTTACAAAGTTGGAAATGCCACTGTGAAAACCACAGACTAGGAAATTGCTTTCCAGTGTCTTTCCTTTTTTTCCCGAGGCAGAAATAAGTGAGGAAATCTGCTTCACATTTGGAATGCATACACATTTAGCAGAAATGGCAGCAATAGAATCTCTTTAGAATCTCATAAATTATCAACATCTCTCTAGAATTTCTAGAGAGTTTATAAGATAGGGGCTGCTGTGTTTGTGTTACTTTTATGCTAAAACATGACTGTTTGGCTACAAATGACTAGAAGTGATTCTAGATTCTTACCATGAGAACTCCTGTGTAGGATCTCATTGTATCATATTCTTTCTTGGTTTTCATCTTCATGCAGGGTTGGTTAAACATATACCCTGTTGTGTATTTCAGCAAAATAAATAAAAAATTATATTAAGACAATGTGGAACTTTGGATAGTTTAAATCAATAAATAGAACCTAAAGTATTAATGGTGGAATAAACTCTTTGTAGAGCCAGTGTGAAAAAATATATTAGAGGTGCTGTTTATCCAGCTGAGTTGCTCTGGACACCTTAATAATCACTATACCATATGCGGTTTTGTTTTGTTTTGTTTTTGCAGATCCTGGTTGCTAAGACCCCTATTGCTCCATTGACATCTTTCCTATACATTATTGAAAACTCTGGTTTGGTTCTCCAAGGTAAGACTACGATAAAATGAGCTTTGTCTTACTGTAGTTAATGTGCTGAGGGAAGTAAGTGCTTAAAGCTGCTTCTCCCAGCCTGGTACTCTCCACATGTTAAATTTGAGCTCCCTGAATTTAACAAAGCTATTTTCCAGAGAAAATGGGAGTTGGTTCAACCCTGGAAAGTGTCAGACTGAAGAACGTAAATCTTAGTTGAATCTAGTTCTTTTAAACTGAATTTAGTAAATGTTTCATATTAGGCAAGTCAATATTAGGCATTTTATATTGATGTTTTCTGAATTCTTGTACCTATGGATGCTCCTGAAACTTTGGTGTTAACAAAAATAAATTTAACTGGGGCAATAGCCATTGTAATTCACAGAGAGTGAGTTGGGTAGCCATATAAATTTTCTTGAATAAATAAATTTCATTGTATGGCTGTATCAGATAATGAACAATCTGTTGCTTTTACAATAATAGAGGAACATGTATAAGAGTTTGCCTTGGAGAGATGTCTTAGTGTTTCACTGTTCAGAAAAAAAAAGTTGATTGTGTAATAATCTAGGTATACCATCTAAAAGTGGGATATATTTGATTGAAAATATAATGATGTAAAACACCTAATGTGTGCACATACATTTCTGAACTTTTGCTTTATCTCTGAAATGTTTTTCTGTTGTTTGTTTTCTATATGAATGAGTTACTGTAAATGTCAAAAATATATTTTCTGCTTTCAAAAATTTAACAAAATCACAGTTCTGTTGAATTATGAGTGGATTGTTCAGATATTATTTACCCTTCAGCTTTATGTCAAATGAGCTTTGGGTTTACAAGTGGGATGTGATACCCAAAATAAAAAATCCTATAACTGAACTCAGAATTTCCCTAACTATTCAGTCGAAACCATCTTATTTATGGGAAGAGCTGATTAAATAGATCATATATTTAAACAAATGTGAGATTCCTCTATTACGATACTAGCTCATACAAACATTGAGAAAAGCAGAATATTTTATAGAGGCTGGTGTTAATGCTTTCTATTAGAAATCAAGCAAGGACACTGAGCTTGTCGATCAGAAAGATCGGCAGTTCGGCAGTTCGAATCCTTAGTACATCTGGTCCAACCCCCTGCATGAGCAGGGGGTTGGACTAGATGACCTCCAAGGTCCCTTCCAACTCTGTTACTGTTACTATCAAGTTACACATCCTTGAGTTGACAGAAAAGTACACCTATGTGAAATTGACTATTCCCATGGCTAATCCCTATCCTATCTCTCAAACCTCTGTCTGCCAGCTGCCAATCACCTGAATATTCTCCAAAATACTGTGTGACAAAGCTTAACACATTTTACCTATCCGGGGCTGCCCAACAGGGAAAAAAATACCTGTCTCACTCATGCCGGGCTGGGTTAACAATTTTTTAATTGGGGAATTTTTATGGGTAAGGGGTTTTAAATTGGAGAAGCCAAAGATAATTTAATTTCGTTTTAATGTATTTTAATATTTGTATTGTGTTGTTTTTAATTCTGGCTGTTCACCGCCCCGAGTCCTTCGGGAGAGGGGGCGGTATAAAAAATAAATAAATAAATAAATAAATAAATAGATAGATAGATAGATAGATAGATAGATAGATAGATAGATAGGCTGAGGATGAGATGAAGGTAACATTGTAAGGGCCTGGCAAAATAAAGAGATTGCCAGGGCAAATTTGCGCTGTGATTAGGGCACATGGGAATACAACCAATGTATTTATCAGTATCAAATTGTTTATTATCTTTTTCTGTACATTCTTTATGTTGGCTTGGCAACTACCTGGATAATCCCTACAGTTTTCAGACATAGTTTACCATTGCCCTCTTCCTGGCGCTGAGAGTGAGTGACTGGCCCAATGTCACCCAGCTAGTTTCATGGCTCAAGTGGAACTAAAATTCACAATCTCCCAGTTTCCAGCCTAATGCCTTAACCACTATATCAAACTGGCTCGCTGTCTTTTTTTTTTATGGTCTTATACCTGAGTGCAGTATAAAACACAAAAGAAAAAAAAAAATCAGAATACAGTTAACCAATAAACATTGGCAACAATCAGCTCTATAGAGTAGGTTTGTAAGCCACAAATCTGCTGCTGATTTTACCACATATAGAGGTAAGAAAAAGAAAGTATCCAAATAATAAATACATAGAGGTGTTTTCCCCCCCAGCTATCTTAAGGTAGTAGGAAGCTTTATGAAAATGAGAGTCATTTTCAAATTGGAAAATGCATTGAGAGGAGTTAGATAGAAACTGCTGTCTACGCTGGTGGCAGTGGAACATTTTTGTGGTAATGAATGGGCTCTGTTCCACCGGCTGACTGCAGGAGCAACATTTTCATTGATTCTCTATGGTGAGAGTCAGTCAGTGTCAGGAGAAGAGTACATTCAAAGCACATGACAAAGGAACAAGTAGATGAGTGTGGGAACTGGTGAGGAACAACAACTGTCTGAGAAATGAAGTGGAGAGAAGGGGGAGAGGAATGTCATCATCATTCTGCTAATCAGGAGGCCGTAAAGAATTTGACATTGGAAAACTTACCTGAAATTTCTTTTATGAGGGAAAGTTGGAAGGAAGCTCAAGAAAAAAAAATGGTGGAAGGTAAAAAGACTGATTTAACAGTTTTGCAGGCAATTCCTCCTGCCATCTCTAGGGGATTAAGAGATGGGGGTGAAGTTAGGCTGCAGGTTGTTCTTCTTTTGTTCTCTGGCTTAATAAACCACCAAGACAGGATGAGTAGTTAGGGATTTCACTGACTGCTATTTGATGCAGTTTGAGAGGCTCCTCTGCTATTGTTACAGTTAAAATAGAAAGCGGAACTGTTCTTCATTTGCAAAAAGTTTCCAAAGTCCCAGGCTGAGAGTGAAAAAGCTATTAACATGGTAATGCAGCCCCATTCAGGGAGTGCATCAAAATCCCCTTTGTTGATGTAAATTGCTGCTCTATTGCCTGGTCTCTTTGGATCTCATGGTCTAGGTACAAGCACAAAAAATTGTTTAGTGAGAAGGGAAAACTCCACCTCTTATATCATTTTAGCAGATTGCCAAAAGGACCAAGAGCACTGCAGTGAGAGACTTCTATGCCTTTGTAAACCTGAAGTACTCGGGTGGTGAAAAGAATCCAATTATTCAGTCACTCTTTTATTGGACCTTTCAATCTTGAGAAATGCTGCTCAACAATTTGGAGACAAGGATGGCTGGTCAAAGGCTTGAGCTAGATTTGGAACCATGTTTCAAATGCATTGTGTGAAGGAGGGAAAAGATAAGAAGCAGCAGTGTGTCTTACAGGAATTCAATAATGCTGCAGAATTCTGGCTTTTAAAATTCTAATTTTGTAATTATGGTCATTTATACGAAGGGACAAATTAAAAGCCTGATTTTTTTTTAAAAAAAAAACATTGTTGACCATATCCTCTTATTTGGAATTAAACATGGTCATTTGAACTCTGCAAGAATATCCAGTTCTGAATAAAACTGAAACCCATAAAAATATAATGTGTGTTCCATGTTCATGTTACTGTTTCTTCCCATTGAGTCTGATTTAATGAGACTAAATGTGTAGATTCAAACCTGCTTCCCCTTCAAGTCTAGGAAATTGCTTTGCAATTCTAGTTCTGTTTTTTTATATTTTGTTCAACAAAAGCTCTTTTTTATTCATTAGTCAGATTTGATTCTATTGATGGGATACACATAAGAATAGCTTGGTTTAGGCATCCACGTTGTACTGCAAAAAGAAATATGTTTATATCAGGAAAGGAAAAAGATATGATTCAAATACATTACTGGAATGTGGAGTGAAAGTTTTAATTTTAAGATGTCCTATCTTTAATTGTAGAACCAACATTGAGCAGATTTTTTTTTTTAACATTTCGGTTATAATGGCAGTCTTTGTGAAATCTTATATGAGAGTTAGTTCTGATTAGCTCAAATGTAAATGTAATCTAATTTTAATTTAGGGATTATTCTTTTGAGAGAGATTGTATAGCACGCTTGATTTATTATATTAACTTGTAGAGATGGAAAATGTAATTTTCAGGAATTGAAAGTATTATTTTACTTACCAGTGATCCCAACTGTGACAAATCAGGTGTGTTCCATTTGAAGTTTTGAAGAAGTAGTTTGTAACTTATCTGACTAAGTGAGTCTGTTTTCTGCCAAACTCCTACAGAGGTTTATGGTGACTGCAGTATGAACTCTCCTAATGTCTGTCCACATTTTTTTCTTCTAATTCTCTTTGTTCTCATATCATATTCACAGGATATATTTCTCTCTCACTTCATTGCTCACCAAAATCTCTTAACAAAATTTAAATAGCATCAGCATTGCTGGTATACATTTACAATGGTACCTTGGTACTCATCATTAATTGGTTCCAGAAGACGCAATGAGTACCAAAAACAATGAATACCAAACAAATTTTTCCCATAAGGAATAATGTAGTGAGTCACAAGGCAGCTGACACTGAATAGTTCTAGCTTGTGTGTTGAGTATCAAACAATGAGTACTGGGGCAAAATTTTCATGTCAAAATGCATTGTGTACCAAATTTGATAAGTTTCAAAGCAGTTGAGTACTGTAGAATGAAAGTCCTTCAGATCAGGTGCCCAGGAGGCCAACTGAGTTCCAGGGGTAGACTACATGAGCCTGTGTGCCAGAATGTTACTTACTAGACAAGCTAATCACAAAGTAAAGTTCAGACACAACTCCTGGCAATTAACACAAAATCCAGGTTATCTAAGTAGCAGAGTGCTTAGCTTGAGAACAAATGATCTGAGATGGAGAGGAGGAAGGTAACAATGGCAAATTCCTGATCAGCTATTAAGGGGTTGCTTTTATTTTAATCAAATTGATAATTTGTTTCTGGAGTGTGTTTGTTTGGTATTGTAAGCCATTCAGAATTTCTGTATTTGAGTTGGGTGACCAAATACATCAATAGATGGGTGATTATAATTAGCAATCATATAAACTCAGAAAATAACACGAGGTTGTT